CTCTGAATTTATTTTTCTCCAACAGATTAAAACAGTCCATTAGGGTAGATTTCATGTGCCAAACTGTCAGTGGGTTTCTGTGACTGTCACACACATCCTCCCACCGCCTGCCCTTCCTAGCGGCTGGTAAATCACATTAACATGCTATCAGATCACCACTCTCAGATTTTCACATTTTAGCAGCTGTTACTGTCTTATTAGTGAGTCTGCAGAGAAAATCTTTCAGACAAAATGGAACCGAACCCTGTGGTTATTGTGACTGGAAGTATGCAGGACTGAAACTGCCGGAGGGAGGCCTGCAGGTACCATGCAGAGGTCTTTCAGAAGAGACATTTGTTATTCAAAGTTGCTGCCCATGGGGGGAAAAAAGAAAAAAAAGCTGATCTCTACTCCAAAGATGCAATAGTTGTAATTTTTTCATATTTTTACTATCAAAATTAAGCACAGGATGGTGCGAGAGCCTTGTTCAGCCTCACATATTTTTCATCCTGTCCCCACGTGGTCACTCATCCCAGACATACACCTTCGAGCCATGCAGCACTATGCACTGCCAAAAGGTGTTGAGGACAAGGTTTGTCACTGATCACTTTCCATACAAATAATGCAAGCTTTGGTCAGGTCCTGTAACAGTTAACTCTTCAGAAGAGTTACATAAGCATAAAATGGGAACAACAAGTAACACTGCTGTTGTTATTATCCTGGAGCTGCACAACATTAGCATGCTTCAGCAATGGACCCATTGGACTAGCAGCTGGACCCTTGGTCTGTATGCTGCGTTCCCTTGTGTTATTATACGTCCTGAGGTGAGTGTCCTAAGCTGTCTGTGCCTCTTTTTGCTCAACTGTAAAGTGAAGATAATGATACTTATTTATCCCTGTAACTTTATTTACAGTGATGTCGACTGAACAGCTGGTAAGCATGATCACTAGTCCATACTCTTTTATTCTGTTAAGAATACCTGAGCTTGCCAACCACTGACCAACTTGATTAGTAAATCTTTAGAACATCTTTATAGAACAAAATAAGCATGAAGAAATAAACATTGTAGCAATAAGGAAAAAACAACATATTTTTTAAATATTAAGTCATTGTGTTACAATTTCTCTATGTTCTATGAACTGCATCATGAAGGATCTTACATGATATTTAAATCTTTTCCAACAAGTTCTGTGTTTCTTACAGCTTTCTCAGTAGATCAATAACTTCCAGACCTTAAAATCCATTTAGCAAACATCTTCTCAAATGAAACAACCTCTCAGACTCATCTGAGCATCTTTACTGTCTATTTGCTACAACTACCACAACTGCAAATAGCAGCAGCCATCACCATTATGTGTCAAAAAAAGCACAGGACGGAATGGTCTCTTTATCACTGTGTTGAGTTGAACAAAGACAGATTATCTGGTGATTAGGGGTTTGGAATATTAATTAAACATCAAGGCTTTCAAATTAGAATCCCAGATGTTTGATCATTATGGTAATTCCCTGTTAACAGCATTCCCTGAAAGGCCTGAGAAACATTCCTCTAATTCTCCAGTGGTGAAAGGTTGAGGACCCTTAGGCTATCGAGCACTGAGATCCTCCGCATCAATTATACAAGACATGGCCTTTTTAGCAAAATGGAGCCATCTTATTTAGTGAGCCTTCTGTTAAGAAAGCTCTCAAACAGCTGCCTAGGTAGATAAACGCTTTCCTTACTAACACAGGCCTTTCCAAAACAAAGCACACTGTTCCTTGCACAAGCTGCTTGCTCTGAATCAAGTCTCAGCAGCAACCACCTTTTCAGGGAGGGGTAGCACCAGCAGCTGGGCCTGCTACATCTCCAGAAAAGCTGCCCTGTCAACAGCACTATCAGTGCGTCTTGGTCTCCTGCTCTGGCCTGTCTAGGCACAGGAGTCAGACCATCTTCCTCTGCCCTCGCTCGCCTCTGACTGAACTGCCTCCCAGCCAGTGCTACCTGTGTAGCCTTATCCTGAAAAGGTGAGAAGCTGGAACAAGTTCAAGTTGTGCTCAGGAAATTATGTGGATTGTCACTAGTTTCCTTTCGATATTACTTGTGCATCTGCATTACTACATTTTATAGAGACAACTTCTGAGCCTGTGAACTAATCTGGGAACAATGTCTAGTGTTTGCAGAGCCCACTGACAAGAATGCAGATGGTTCTTTTAAAAGCACAAGTACTGTTTGTCATAGTCAGCTCAGGAAGTGTGTTTGGAGATCTATGCTAACAGCCAGCCTGCTTACTACCATGGCATACTGCCCTCACACGTGACCTTCTCAGTGCACTCAGCTCTGCGGTTTGTCATAAATTATCTAGTTAGGAATAATGATAGCAATAACAAAACTCCTTTCACCTGGCAGTGATTTACCCCTGGTATTTCCTCCCTCCACACGTGCTCCTACTAACATATGAATAAAATGCAACTTCATACATATGCCCAGAGCAACCTAAAGACTTTTCATCAAGCAATAGAGCCAGAAAAGGTAACAGGAGATCCAGACAGGACGGAACAAATTACCTGAAGTTCAAGGTCTCAGGTTATTCACTTACAAGCTTAGTCAAACTTGAGTGCAATCTTAAAGGAATTTCAAGTGGAAAGGGGATGTATTTCAATATTTTTCATTCTTTACTAGATGTTAATTTTGCACAGTCTGATTAAGAATTTTCAGCCTTTGCAGGGTGCCTCTTCAGAGCAGATATACTGCTGATCTGGACTAGTTGGGGAACATCCCTTCTCCCGTTATGTGACAAGGAACTTACATGCTACCTTGGATAGTGCTCTATAGAGGGCTATGTTCACTTAGTGAAAACCACTTTTCCAGCAGCCCTTAGTGGCCACATATAGAGTAAGTGCCCACACATTGCTTATAAAAAAAGAATAGAAAGTATCTTAACTTACACAAAACCTATACAATCTCCCCCCCCAGCTTTTATTAAAAAACTTACTATCTGTGTACTAACAAAATATAAATCTATACTCAAAAGTACTTGCACTATTCACAAGGTTCCTCTAGATTCTAACCAAGCACCCTGAAGGTCTCCGTGCCATGTTCCAGTCAACTGCAGATGTTGCTGCATGTAGTCTCTCTATGAGCACAGTTTTCTATAAATCTCTTCCTTGCTCTCACAGAGGTTTTGCAAAACAGATTCAACCACAATCACACAAAGCAGATATTGTTCATCTAGCTCTGGCCTCAACACTAGCTATTTCCACTTATCCATCAGTTTTCCTAATGTCCATTCTACTGTAATTCCATAATTCTGTCCAGGAAATACTTAGACATGCTTCATTAGTCAAGTTGATGGAAGAAAAGAAGGGCATCCTAGAATATGGACAACTACAATCTCAACAAGGTCCATGGAGTCTTGAACATTAGCAACTCTGTTTTTCACAGTTGAAAGCATGCCCAGAGTTTCCTGGATCTTGCTGGGCCTCACATTAATGTTGACTGTATAGAGAAACAATTCTTAAATAACTTGCTGTGAGAAGCTTTGTGTTTTCAATGGCTGTCAACAGTCCAGTAAAACTGGGCTGAATCTACCAGTAATTTATAGAGCACTACAAAACACTGGAAATGGGGGGGAAATTATCTTTTTGATAGCACTGTACACCTCCAAAACAATATACCATATGTACCAAAATCAAACTGATTAGTTAGATGTAACTGGAAAAGGCAAACTTCCAGATAGCAAGTTCTCCGTTCTTCTATATTGAAGGTCCTTGCATGTAGGGCTGCTTGGTTTCTGCAGGCTGTAGCTAAGTGGTCTTGGGCACCCTGATGGTCTGCTATTACTACTGATCATCTCAAATTAGCAGCTTTATCCTTCTGACTCATCAGTATTAGTTGGACAATACCAAAAGAGGCAATCGATCATATGAAGCTGCTCATGAAGAAGAGACAATATTAGTTAAATCTCCTCCTCAGCTGCCCCTTCTACCTAACTCTCAAGTCATTGTCACAATAGATTATGGAAGCTTGTTCTTACTTAATATTCTCCTAACGAGAATATTCATTTGCAGTTTAGCACTAAATGAGATTTTTAGCACTAAATGAGATTTTAGCACTGCTCAGCAGTGGTTTTCTTTCTTGTCTGACACCTCTTTGAGAAAAAAGACACTGGTTGGATGATGGGATAAAAGACAAAGCTGACACTTGGTTCCAGGATACCATTCCCTGCAGTCAGTATGAGGTCATGTGCAGCAAGACCAGTCCCAGCAGTGAAACAGTATACTGAAATATTCCAGGTACTTACTCAGAAACAACACAGACTGTGGTCAAAATATTCCTAAATACCATTCACTTAACATGAATCAAGGTTCTAAATTGTGTTCAACAATTATCACAAATCATTTCGCTCAGATAACTGTAACCCCAGACAAGTTTCAGGTATGGCTTATGAACTAAGATGCTTGATGCAGGTTTGGCTTTATTAACGATCAACTGGCAAATGAAGAGTCACTTTTTGCCTTGTTTGGGTCTAATACGTGCTGTGATTGCCCAAATCTTTAGGTCCACTGAGTCATTTAAATAATTGCCTACAGCATAGTCGCAAGAAGCCTGCAATACTGAATTTTGTTCCATACAGTGGGGAACAAATAGCATTTCTAATAGCAAAGCACAACTTTTATGTTTCTTAAGAAATGTGGCAGCACATACTGCTTTGAATTGTTGATTTTGGCATTTAAAGCAGATGTCAGTATCAGTTATGATCAAAGGTGCAAGCATGCACATTCTTAAACCAGACCCCTAAAGATAAGCTGAGCAGCACAGAGCCTTATTGTACAGGCTATAAGATTTCCTCTCATCCCCTGACCACCTACATCTCTTTATACCTCCTGGGAGAGCAAAACAGGACCATCTAAACAAACATTAAGACATAAAATATATGAATACAGAATAACTACATATTTTTATAGGTTGAAGGAAATTAAAAAATGAAAGTAGGGGAGATCTTCGGGAAAAACCTGTAAAAACATTCCACCTTAGTATATCATACCTTCTACTGCTAATTCTTTCCATCTTTCTTTGTTTGCTTGAATGATCTTCATCAAGTTGTCCTTAAAGCTCGTTAGGTCTACAGTTGCTAGAGAATTTTCTGTGTGAGTCCCTCCTTCACTTGTACTTTTAAAACTGGGTCGTCTTTGTGCTTCAGCATTGCTTACTGCTCCCAAACTATTTTGCCTGCAGAAGGGAAAAAACCCTAAATTATGAACACAGCCAATTTTAATAATACACAAACAGTTAATTTGAATCAAATTCCTTACGACCCTCATGCAATCACTAACTTGAAATAACAGTTTTCACCAAAGAGTGGCTAAGATACAAGACATTTCTTCAACTCATGAAGCTGTAACCTGGGACCAACTCTTACCAACCTTCTTCCAGGGAATTCTTGAAAAAAATGCAACAGCTCAAAACACATTACTTGTAAGTTGGTTCTTGAAAGAATGTTTATGTAGCCATTTTGGAGCAGCTTATTAGATGTGATTTTGAACAGTGAATGGTATCTTTGGGGGTCACAGGAAAGACATCTGACTGTTATTTGTTGACCCATTTAAAAAAAGCAAGACAGGAAAGTATATGATAGGCAAGTAAGTTCAGCTTCAGCTGAAAATTCTCTTCAAGGTACATGCCTTCAAGTGTAGTCCAAGCAGGATTTAGTACAGTGGCTTTAAAATCCACTTAAGAGCTATTGCAGCTATCTTACAGGTAAGGTAAGGTAGAAGTGAAATTGATTATTCATATGTGAATATGCAGATACATGTAAAGGTAGGAAAAAAGAAAGAACCCTTTTTTTCTTAGGATCAAAAAATCAGACCTATTTCTGGCTTTGTATAGGTAATCATGTCGTACCAGGTTTTGCTTACTCAATTATGCTGCATAGTTTATCTCATTGGTACCAAAGACAGATGTTAATATGCATACAAATGAATTTCCATTAATCAGAAAATATAGTTGCAGTGAACATATCAGCAAGAACTGCACAAGAAGAGTTAACTGGAATTTCCGTGTGCTCCAGAGATATTGAATGGGATAGAACAGAAAGAACAGGTGATAAATCTAATGTTTTCCAGGCACCACAGTGAATGTCACACCATATACTCATGGTGTCCAGCCAGTAGTGTTTGTGCAACTCTGCTGGCTCAGACATTTCTGTATCATGCTATAGGCTCTCCACTCTCTTCATAAGTGTAGCTCTTGATTCCATACTAAGAAAAAAATCCCTTTATCCTCCACCTCACATGAGGAAGCTTTGCTGGATCATGAGGAAGCTTTGCCTTTCTTCATCTACCACTCAGTCATGAACACCAACCAAAAATGAAACCTGGAGCTACTCATCATTTGCAGCTGCTAATCGCTCATTTGTGAAGACGTGAGCAGGTAAACAAGTTTGTTAGCAATAATGCCTTAGTTTAGCACTGTTCCCCAAAACACTAAGAACACTGTCATAAATACCTACTTCTAGTAACTTCTACTTACTTCTAGTGACTAAAATACATGTAAACTCATGATCAGAAAAGAGCTAGGTTCATCATTTTGCTATTAAAACCTAACTAATGCACAGCAAATGAAAAATTGCCCTGCAGAGTTATCATATTAGCCTCAATGAAAGGTCAAATTACAGTTTTAAAATGAAAAAAAAAGTGGTAACAGAGACAATCTTTGTAAAAGCAGCATCTGATTATTGAACAATGCTTTCAGCATGGAACCACTCAGATAACATTGTCTGTCATAGCTAGTTTGTTTTATGGACAACTTCTATCATGACACAAAAATCAAGAGCTTGATGGGTAACCCCCCCTGCATCTCACTTATACTGTATTTAGATCTCTCAAGTGGAGTATAAGTGGAATCAATTTTGTCTCAAGTGTATATATCACATAATACTAAAATGGAAAGGTGAAGAAGGAAAGTGACCTACAGCATAATAAAAACCAGAAAAAAACCTGAAACCATCTTCACCACCTCCACTTCCAATTGTCTCTCAGAAAGCAAAGAATGACTTTTGGTACTGTGAATTAAAATTATACTGAAAATGTCTCAAGATAAGAGAACTAGGAACTTCAATAATCTATTGCAAAGATTATAGTCAAAGGAAAAAAATTGTTACTAGATATGCTGTAGAAGATCAACTTTATTTTATACATGTGTATTCTTCTCGTTATTGTGTTTTTGCCTTTTTAAACGCACGATCATCTACAGTCAACAGAGTAACAGCATGTTGCAAATACAACATAGCACCACATGGTGGCAATACTGTACAGCTATTGATGCTACTTTTCCAACTGTTAAAATAATTGTGATAATTCTGAGAATGACATTATTATGTTAGTTTCTGTTAGTTCAATAACTAAGCAGTGTATTCATACCTGGGTGTCCCAAATGCAGGACTTTCAGATTTTGACGCTTCCTCTATAAGAGGCATAACAATTTTCTCCATTGAGTCCGTAAGAAGAGAAAATGTCGGTTCTACTATGAAATCAATGAAACCTAAAGAAGAAAGAGAGAGAAAATCAGATTTTACATTTTCACAGCTCTCAAATTTAAAAATAAATACTTGATATCAGGTTGATTTTCTGACTGTAGTCCTGATTTAATATACTAGATACCACTAGGAAAATCTTGAGGAAAAAAGCAGAACTAAAACCAAAACCACCTGAAGCTGTACAGATATAACTAGATATTAATAATTATAGCTTTTCATTCCTTTTTCTTGTAAATTCTATGCACTGCAGAACACACCTACCATTTAAAATGAGTATTAATTATTGAATAGAAGGGAAGCTACAGTTGAGCCAAGGGGCTAGAAGTACTGTCTCTTTTACCATTCAGATCTTCTTGCCAAGGAGTTAATATTTCAAACTGCTGTTTATTATTCTGTGGAGGTAAAGTGTTATTTCACAGTGTGTAGGCGTGTTCTGTCAAATCAGTGAAGAGAACAAGTAATATCCTTAGGAGACAGCATTCATCCCACAGTTCTGAGATGTCAGCTCTGAACAATGTCTTTTACATTTTAAAGTGCTCATCAAGGTATGGAATGACACAGTGAGAGAATGAAGCATTATTCTCTGCTGAGCACTTAACAGAAAAAAAAAATGCTAAAACATGAACTAGCAATGGATTTCCAGATGTCTTCATACTCTAACCATGCAACACAGCACAAAGGTGAGCAACAGTGCTTCAGTCTAGGATCCAGCTTCCCTCCTGCAGTAGGTATGATGCTCAAGCACGTTGCCTTTCAAGTCCCAGTGAAATGGAATAAAGAACATTTTCAGTGACAAGATCAGACAGGATGACATACTTCAGTTCAAGGATAAGACACAGTCACCTATAGAATCTTTCCCCGAGTACTGTGTTCACTCACATGAAAGGTACAGCTGATGGTAGGACATACTACTTTACTCAGTATGCTTGTAGGGTATCTCCTTGTAACTACTCCCACTGATCTTTACCTATTTTTATCTCCTTATTATTGCTGATGGAAACAGGGATAGAGCCAAGTCCCACATTCCTGAAAACGGGAAGCTGAAGTTTGACCATTGTTGACCAAAATGCAATTAGAATTGATGGGAACAGAATGCAGTGGTCCTTGCCAACCCAAGGAGGCTCGACCTTGTGTAGTTTGACCCTGCCACACTGACAGTCTTACCTGCAGTCCAGACATCTGATGTACAAATTAGCTTTAAGTTGAGATGCATCTACAAAATGGTACCAGGCTTTCAGATTGTAGTAGAGACAGACCTCTGAGTTCTTGAGCAAGAGTCAGTCTGTCTGAGGACATGATCTACTAAACTCTAAAGCATGTACAGTAAAAGTTGGGCTCATGTCCAGGACTTTGGTTAATCCCTCTCCTACTCCTCTTTGGCATCATCACATGTGCTGAAATAACTTCAGGTTCTTTTGAGACCAGTGCATTTCTGCTCTAAGAGCATATGTGTTTGGTGAACAGATAGGTGCAAAGAAATACCTTCTATATGACAGCATTTGGAACATTTAAAATTAAAAATGGGTATAAATGTCCACATGATTTTACATGCTCCTACACATAGAAGAAAAAGAAAAACACAACTTGTCATTACCTATTTGGGACTGAGCTACCAAAGTAGACTTGCGGTCACAGAGTGGGGAAAACTGAAGACCTAAAGCAGCCTCCTTGTCTCCCTGCAAACAACAATATTTAATATTATAAGCACGTATTTGACAGAGGGACAGAGAAACAAAGGAATCTGAACATTTTTAGTATTTATTCAACAGATTACTTTGCTCACTTATACTCCTAAATAAAAACAAGCCACAGGCAAAAAAGCCCTCTTAATTTATCTTTAAATTTTCAGCAAAAGTAAAAGTCAAAATTCTAACTTACATTTGACAATTTTTATATAAAGGAACTTATTGCAAGCAAGTTCTCCTCAAGAGCAAGGCATCTGCCAATGAGATTTAACATATATGAAGTCCTCCAATATTCACAGTTTAGTACTGCTGATCCCAGATGTAATAGGATTGGAGAACACATGAACGCTTACTACTAGGAGCAGTGCGAATGGTATCTCCATGTAAATGCAGGAGCCAGACTGTAATACAATATAAAATGGGGTGGTTCTAACAATTTCAGCCATTGCTGAATACAGGATTTCTAAAGCAATATTAATTTTGTAGTCTTCCCTTAACTAGGTATTAAAAAAGCAAAAATTCCACACTAGCAAAGAATCAGTTTGAATTTTTTTGTGTTTTCAAGTAGCTCTTTACCCTAATTATGAACTACTTTGCAATTAATGTAATACATAATTAAGACTTAAATGACATTTAAGTCTACTGTAAACTGTCATAATGGACACAGCATTGTTATTTAAACTGATCATTACAATTTCATGAGATTTAAAATTTAAAAAAAAAAAATCAAAAACCTCACTGGACAAATTCTCTTTTTGTGCTTTTGGATTTATTAGGACTTGAACTATATATTTCTTTATTTCTAAGGTTTTGAGATGGGTAGGTGTATTTCTATTTTAAACAAGTAGCTCAGATTTTCCTTGGCATTATAGCACACTTTCTGTAGTTGTTGCTTTTAAACTTAAAGCATTGTTTTTTCCTTTTTCCCCTGAAGCTAACACTGGCACATATTTTAACCATTAGCTGCAGTTAACAAAGTTTTCTGTCTAGGGGAATGTTCATTTTTTGCTGGTGCTCACCACTTTGAAAGCTGCCTGTTAAAGCATTGGTTTTGCATCAGCAGTTTCAGGCTTTGCTGCTTTTTCCTGTAAGCAGTAGAAGTAGTTGAATTACCATTCTTAAAGAAAAGAAGAGGAAGAATTACTGGGTTCTGTATACATTTGGACTACTTCATCTTGGCTGACAGAGATTTGGAAATCCCAGAGATTTCCACCACACACACTCAGATCAACACCCCAGAGGATGCACAACAAACCAGTGCATCTAGGAAGCAGGAGACCTACCATGTCTGCGCTGCTCAGTGCATTTATAAATGTACAGTTACTTCATGACATGTTAAATGTGTTAGAACTACTCCACACACACTGTTCTTAGTAGTACATATAAAGAGGGATTTAGTTCCTTGCACTCTCCTCTACAGCCTGAAAGACTTTCACAATTTATACTGCTGAGTTGCAGAAGTACATATATGGTGATTTGATCCTATTGTTAAATGCCTTCTCAAGTCTTTGAGCAACTTATTTGGGATCCAGTTACTTCTTCTAATGAAAGAATAAAAGAAGAACTAAAACATTAGCTGATCCTATGCACTCAACAACCAGTGTGGTACTGTTTATTGCTAATGCTACATCCACTTGAGTGGACACATTGCCTCACTGTCCCATGGGCTCTGTCTTGTGTGTCTCTCTGTGTCTAAAATGTTTTTACAGTTGGTCATTTCTGACCTTTTCAAGTAACACATATCTGGGGTAGTCTGTTCCTCCTTTTTCCTCTCAAGTTCAAAATACTCATAATTTCCATTTACAGAAGCAGACACAAACTCATCACTCTACTCAGTATTTCCACAAAACTTAGTCCATTCATTATTTAGATTAAGGCACCAGCTCTCCAATCTGTCTCCCCAGTGCAAAGCTCAGAGTCAAGGATGTCTTGATGCTCCCTACCAGGAATTCTTATAAAGAACCTCTAGGAACTGAGCAAGAACCTTCTAGGGCAGATGGGCTTAACAACCTCATGGTTTATCATAACGACTTTTTTATTCTCTGACCCCTTTTTTCAGTGTGACCAATCTGATTTGAAAATGTCAGCCTATAGCAAAATGACAATCAAGATGAGCAAGACATACACTGTTCCATTATCTGTATTAACCATTTTTAAAACCTGTGTATAACTGTAGAAACTGTGTCATACCTAAACTGGATTTTGTTATCAATTGTACTTCAGTAACTGTTATGTTAAAAACGTGCATGGTCACAAATGTTCATTACAGGGAGAGTATTCCCCCTTTGGAGAAATGTTTTTTTTTCACCTTCTGTGAGTAAAAAAATGGCAGCAGTGACACCAACACCTACTGGGCTTTCTCTTTAAATTCAGGATCTCACAGAAATGAAAAGACTTTCACAAAGGTGTGTCTTCATTTTTGTTTTAGGATATATGGCCACAGCATTAACAGCATGATACCATCTAACCTCTGGCTTTGGATCAGGTTGTTATGAAAGCAAAACCTTCAGATCTATGTGGCATATGCATGGCAAGCACTGGCAAGGAAAAGAAAAAGCAAGGCTTTCTGAAATGTGAAATGGAGACAACTTTTTGCCTTCTTTGCTCAACATGAATTCTTCCTATTTTCAAGTCCCTCATCCTACCCTGCTGGTGCTTCTTTTTAACTCAAAGCATATATAAATGTCTGTCTACAGAATGAAAACAGCTTGACAAGTTATACTATTATTGAAAGAAAAAAAATGCTACAACACTCAGAATCTTTGTATCAGCTGAAATAGATATAGAGCTATAACAATTTCATCTTATTCATGCACATAAAAGTTGAATTAATGTCAGTGGTACATATGAAGAGTAAGGAATATATACTACTGACTATGCTTGTCAATCACAACCAACAGCATCCTTGCTGGTAGACTTATGAAAAGATTTAATTGTGTAACCATTGCTTCTTGAACTAGATTTATTAAAAGAATTTAAAAATGGCACCTGTCGAAAAAATTCTTCCATCAGGGCCATGGTCCACCGGTAGTGCAGTTCCCAGGATTTTGCTGGATGGCTTATGTCTGCTGCATGTAGAATCAAAGACATGGCTTTGGCTTTGTCTACCCTGTCAATTCAAGGACATGCTCCAATTATCTCAAAACAAAAGCAACTATTTAAATTATTTTTTTGTACATGAGCTCATTGAAAGACTATAGATAATGAACAGAATGGAAAATAACCTACCCCTCTGTCTGCTGTAGAGTATGTCGCATCGTTTTAATTTGTTGAAAATGACCCGACATATCTGTAGACAAGACCATCTCAATGACCAAGCTACGCAACTCCCTATGAATAATAAAAAGCAAAATGACTGATTATAATTCTTTATTCTCTGTATGGTACATTTTTTTAAGCAGTACTTGTTAATTTATAACTTTCTAAACAACATCATGGGTTTTATTATGTTTTAAAAAGCATTTAAATAAATTATTAACAACTTGAACATTGTATCCTAAAGGGATTCTGTGAAAGCAATGTACTTCAGAAAATGCACTCTTGCAATCATTATTTCAGAGTCACACTGTTTTGTAATTCCTTTTTTCTGGTGTATAATCTAAAATTACATGCAGTTCTGTCACCCATTATCAGTCTTTCCTTATTTTTCCAACAGTAGAGTATTCAAAAAACCAGGTGGTGTCTGGGCTTACCACCACACAAGAGGATATATTTGTGTCTTTTACTACCACCCTCATATTAGTGCAGAGTAGGCATAACACTAAACCTAGGAAGAAGGCTGTGGAAACACTCAGAAGAGCAAGAGGTATTATATGTGAAACACTATCAACATTATACCAATATATGAACATTATGACAAACTACTCTTCATCTCAAAAATACCTTAATGCCTAATTCATGAATCAGAACAAGTTCAGGATTTATAGTTTATCTATATCTTGGTATTATGGTCAGAGATATTGGCTTGTCCATCAGCTTTCTATTAAATGAATATGAAAACAGTAAAACATGAATCATGTAAGAAAGTGTATTAATTCTCATTGTATATGAAATTACATTAAATTTGTCAACAATAATTACTGACTTGGAAAATTCTGTTTCCTCGATATAGAAGGACTGTATATAGACCATGTAGGATTCTACTGGGTCTTTATTTACATGCTTTTTAAATGGCCTAGGAGGATTTATGTGCAAGGGTGTTGCTTATATGTATATCAGGGACAACTCACCACATTAAATCTTTGACTACGTAGCATTTTCTTCATGAGCACACTCCCAATCTTAAGGATTTCCAAGTATCAATTACAACAGTAGAATCCTACTTTAGTCATTCTCACTGATCTTTCATATTGTATTAGTATCTTTGATTTACTTAACAATGCATTTTTTTCAGAGGACTATGTTTCAAAGAGGTAAATTGCAGTTTTTCAGGGCTGTTACAATAGTTTGTTATAAAAACTATCAAGACCACTTTTGAGCCAAATTAATTGCATATTTAAGCTGATACTTCTCATTGATTTTTGTGTATTTATTCCTGATTTGCTTTGTTGTAACTGGATAAAGACTCAGTCCTCTCACTTCTACTCAATAATATGCAGCCATAGCAACTTGTGTTTAGAAAATGCCTTACCTTATCTGACCTCATAATAAGATACTAATTAATTTGCATCCCAACTGTTCCTCCTCCGCACTGCTTCAAAACTGTACCCTTCAAACACAGCCAAACCCATCAAAAAAAAAAAATAAAATAAAGAACAGCTAACACTGCATGAAAACTGAGGGCTCTGCATTGTTAAACCCTGTTGTTTGTAAGACTGAAATAATTATCACTTCCCCTTTCTATGGGAGATTTTCCTAGTAACTTTCCAGGTCTGAACTTTTAAGAGTAATCAGAAATAAGCTCACCCCTACTACACCAGACACACAGAAAAGCAAAATGCTGCTTCCAGTAGATTCACATTGTGATGGCAGGAGACAAACCCTAATTCTTACCTCCATCACCTGAATAAGGATCAAACAATGTAGCACTGTCCTCCTCACACATTTCTGAAGATTTCAGGCCACTAAAAAGCTGCTTAACAGCAAAGGAGAGGCTCTCCACCTACAGCCCGTGGTTGTTTCCTGCCTGTGTCCCCATCCATCATCAATAAAGAGAGAGAAAATTCAGAAGTGACGGGGAAACATGAAATAAAGCTTTACGAGAGCTACAAATGCTCAGTCTACTACCATTGCACAGAACTTGGACTTAAACCATTCCCAAAACATTTCCCAGGGAAAAAAGACCCTCTCAACTTCCATACTGAAGGAGACCTCAGCTGGTACCATAGGTAACTCCTGGACAGAAATCTCTGCCCACTTCATTAGGCAGTCCACAGCTACAGGAATCGGGACAATACAGTTAGCACTGCTCATTCTACCATAGCAAAAAGATACATAGGTGTTGCCGTGTTCTATGATGGGAGCTGGTAAGAGTATTGATGTACAGTGCACAGTGGTTTTTTGGGGCCCACAATTGGAAGATTACTGGTTTTGAGTGTACAATCTCCACTTTTCGTAAGTAAACAGTCATGTTCTGTGCTGTCATCCTTTCTTAACCTTCCTATATCCATACGTCCTATGGATAGGATACTGTAAAACAACAGATGCAAGATAATGTGAAAAAATTACATGAATAACGCTGTAATAAACAAGAGACAAGAAGTGGCACATGAATTTCTTGGAAAAGTAGTTAACCAATAAAGAGAAACCAGCTTTACCTGGATTTGTCCATGACAAAGACATTTAGTCAGCAGG